GTACTGCCAGGTAAAGCAGGGCCACTTGATCCAATACGGAAGTTAGGCCATGGGAGGGGCACCTGGGTGGCTCAGTTGGTGAAACGTCCAACTCTTAATTTTGGCTCAGGTCATGGTCTCACAGTTGGTAGGATCCAGCCCTGTGTTGGGCTCTGCACTGACAGTGTGGAGCCTGCTTGGGATTCTCTCTTCCCCTCTCTCTCTGCCCCTCCCCTGCTCGAGTGCACTCTCTCTCTCTCTCAAAACAAACAAACAAACAAACAAACAAACAAAAGAAGTTAGGCCATGTGAGATTGTATCTTCAGATGAAGTGTTAGCAAACAACTCAGGAAGCAGGAAAGGTTTACTTTGAGGTAGACAATGTACAAGGGCTAAACAGGCCCTGTGAAAACTGACTCCATTCAAAGGCAAAGGTGAGCTTCTAAGGGCAACAGCCCGTTTCAGAAGGAAAAGTGATTGGTTGGTTCAAGTAAGTCTTTAGCTTGTCAGCACAAGATTGTTTGGTGTGGAATGGACCTGAGCCCCCATTCCATTTGTGACTTGTTGGAACTTTACTGACCCAAAAAGTCATCGGGTTGAGTCCAAATAGGACAGTTGAGACACAGATCACACGTATGGCAGGCTCATCACCAGGCTCTTCGTTTTGCTGATTCTGATTACTTCTCCCAGAAGCAGTTGCTTTGAGCCCTGACCAACGCCTTCTTGCCTTTTACTAGCAATATAGTCTCAGAGACATGCAGCAGGTAAGCCTATCTGCAGACGCTCAAGACTTAGCAAACATTTCCTTATCATCTCATTTCTACCACGAGGAACCCGAGCTACAGAGCAGTTTAGTAGCCTCCCCTTGGTCACGCAGCTAGTCAGTGAGAGAGCCAGACATTGGTAGGTAAGTCAGTGGCTTATTTTTCACAGGAATCAATTTCCTGATGCCATTTTCCCCTGCAGGTGCTCATGTGGACCAAGCCTTCCTGGTCAGGCAGGTTGACCTCAGAATTGATACATTTAACCACTTTGTTCTACTGCTTCTAAGGAGGAGAGAGAGGGAAAGAGTGGGAGAGAGGAAGAAAGAAACCAAGAATATAGTATTGTTAAGAGCATGGACTCTAGTGCTAAATAGATCTACGTTAAAATCCCAGATTTGACTTACACCACTTACAACTTTCATGAACTAATTAAGTTACTTAGCTTTTCTAAGGCTCGGTTTTCTCATCTATAAAATGGGGAAAACAATACATACCTAAAATGGCACTCAGTTTAATCTCTTTCAGGTAATTTTTTTTAAGCATACCAATTTATGATCCATGACTGCCCCCTAGAGGTAAAATTAAAAATTTGCACTCTATAATTATGCTAAATACAATTCCTGGAAAGCTCTTTTCTTCCCAAACTGTCCAGCAAAAAAGCCAGTAGTGTCTGCAAATCAAATGGTCCAATAACCACTGGTTTGTGGTGTGTCTGATCTCCTTGAATTGCAATATCAGGCTTCTCCAAATGTAATCAGCAAGGCTTGTTGGGGCGCCTGGGGGGCTCAGTCGGTTAAGCGTCTGACTCTAGGTTTAGACTCAAGTCATGATCTTAGTTTCATGAGTTCAAACCCCGTGTCTGGCTCTGTGCTGGCAGCGTGGAGCCTGCTTGGGATTCTGTTTCTCCCTTCTCTCTGCCCCTCCCCTGCTCACGCTGCCTCTGTCTCTCTCAAAATAAATACATAAACAAAACAAAACGGAAGCAGCAAAGCTTGGCCAAGTTGGGTACTGCAGGGCACCAAGGCACCAGAGAAGTGTGACTCCCACGAAAAGTCAGTTACTCACTATCAACAGTAACAACAGCACACACAAGACATGAGGCAAACCCAGATATCTTTACAAATGAGTTTCTGACATTTCAAAGAAAAGGAAATTATCCCCACCATACACAAACTACTTCGAATAACAATAAAAGGAAGGAAGGAAAGGAGGAAAGCAGGGAGGGGCGAAGGGAAGGAGGAAGGAAGGAAAAGACACCTGGATGGCTCATTGTATTAAGTGGCAACTCTTGGTTTCGGCTCAGGTCATCATCTGGTGGTTCGTGAGTTCGAGCCCATCTCATGGTTTGTGAGTTGGGCTCCGTCCTAACAGTGCAGAGCCTGCTTGGGATTTTCTCTCTCTCTCTGCCCTTCCCACACACACTCGCTCACACTCTCTTTCAAAATAAATAAACTGAAAAAGAAAGAAAGAAAGAAAGAAAGAAAGAAAGAAAGAAAGAAAGAGAAGAAAGCTGACCAATTCATTTTATTAGGTTAAATTAAGTCCACAATCCTTTATCTTAAATTCTTTGGGGCTGGGGAGCTTAGAAAGATAGTGTAATATGTAAGTTGTGTATAACACCCCAGCAAAGTCTGAGCCAGCTCCCACAATCAAATATGTTAATATTTTTGCGGTATAACATACTAAGTGGGGTAAATAAATGCTATAAATCGGCTTGCATCAATTCAGATCCGGCTTTGCTGCCAACTGAGTTTGCTGAAAAAGTGCTCTCCCAAAAAAGACACCTATTGTTAGTTCTCAGAACTCTTTGAATTTTAGAATTGCAGGTAAAGATCATGGGCCTACTAAGGAATGAATGCCAAACAAACCTGGGATGCTAGTATGAGGAAAGAAAATTTAGCCCAAACTTGTTAATATATTTGCAAAACTCCTGAAGTAAAATGCTAGCATATAGAATCCAGCAGTGTATAAAACAAACAAACAAGCATATAGCATGAGTCTTTTTGAAAGGGCGGGCCTACGCCAGCCGACTCCATCTTGTTCTGTGTCCTTCACCTTGACCACACCTCCTCCCCTTGAGTAACCCCCTCTCACCTGCCTAACAGGACTCGACCCTTCCCCAGGACCCTTCCCCAGCCAATCGGCTGAGGCCATAGCCATTACCTCACCAACTGCCCCCAGGCCCCAATAAAACCTTTGTCCTTTTGAAACTCGCTCTTTTTCCCTGGTATCTCACCGCTGCGTCGGTGCAGGTAGGGGATTGAGCTCGAGCTAGCTCGAATAAAGGCTCTTTGCTTTTGCATCGGACTCGGCTCCCTAGTGGTCTTTGGGGATCATGAATTCTGGGCATAACATTTTCTCTCACATTCCTTGACATCTACTTTCAAAATATATCCAGAATCCCACCACTTTTCACCGCCTCCACGGCTATTCCCCCTGGTCCACGCCACCATCTCTCAACTGCATTTCTGTAACAGCCTGCTACCTGACCTCACTCGCCACAGAAGCCAGAACGGTGCCAGTGAAACATATCAGGTCTTGTCACTCCTCCAAGCAAACCGGGGGTGTCTTCCCATTTTATTCAGGATGAAAGTCAAGATTCTTACAATCACCTCCAAAGTGCCCACGTGATCTGACCTCCCGGCGGTCTTTCTGGCCTCACCTCCTGCTGCTCTCCCTCAGCTCACACCACTTGAGCCACAATGGCCTTGGAGTTCCTTGAATGGGAGGGGAGACAGGGAGATGTGAGAGCAAGCCACACGCTAAACACCACGGGCTCCCACTGCTCTTACCTGAAATTCACCAGTTTTTCACGAATAAACACTTCTCAATTTGTTATGTAGCTGAGACACAGGGGTGCAAGGCCAACTGTGCCAGGTATTAGAGACAAAGATCAAATATATATACATATATATGTGTGTGTGTGTATGTGTGTATATACATATAGTTTTTTTTTTTACATTTATTTATTTTTTGAGAGACATAGAGAGACAGAGCACAAGTTGGGGAGGGGCAGAGAGAGAAGGAGACGCAGAATCCGAAGCAGGCTCCAGGCTCTGAGCTGTCAGCACAGAGCCCGACATGGGGCTCAAACTCACAAACTGTGATATCATGACCTGAGCCGAAGTCGGATGCTCAACCGACTGAGCCACCCAGGCGCCCCTATATAGTTTTGTGGGTTTTTTTTCTAATTATACCACACCCACTTAAAGGATGCCTGGTCAGATTCTTCTTGAGAGTGACCTTGTTGGTCTGGAATAGTGACAGGTACCCGAGGAGATCCCATAATCAGATCTCACAGCCTCATTTCTACGATCACCTCCCTGGTTTGGCCTGAGACTGGTGAGGCCAATGGGCACAGGCCTTGGTGTCAAAGTGGGAGAGACAGACACACCTGACCACAGTTACAGGGTGTGGCCCAGTTGGCTTCTGGATTTGGCAGCTATGGCTTCTGTCTAAAGGGGCGGGGGCGGGTGTGAAGCTTAACAGGGACTGGTGGATGCCTCCAGATGGAGGAAAGAGAGAACCAGAAGAGCAGAGGCAGAGGCGGGGGAAAAGGGCATGTAGTAAGGGCCAGAACTGGTATGGAGGTTGGTGTTGACTTACGTCCAAGGCCCCTTGTCAAGGGCTCTAGGAGCCTTGTTAACTATCGGCAGCAGGGTTTAAGAAGGAGCTCTGGAGAGTTTAGATTTATTTTGAAGAAAGATCACCCTAGGAAAAAGCTGGAGGATGGAGTGGAGGTAAAAAGCCACCAACTCTGGGGCACCTGGGTGGTTCAATCGGTTAAGCAGTGGACTTCGGCTCAGGTCATGATCTCACCGTTAGTGAGTTCCAGCCCTGAGAGCCCCCCCCCCCCACCTGTGGACTCTGTGCTCGTGGCAGGGAGCCTTTCTCTCTCTCTCTCTCTCTCTCTCTCTCTCTCTCAATAAATAAATAAATAAATATTAAACAAAGATTTTTTAAAAATGGGTTTGTCTCGTGTCTATAGCAGGTTGTCCAAGGGCACGCAGGCGAGGGTGGCCCATCGTTTACTAGCGGTTTTTTATTCGCAGAGCCGGAGGATTCCGCCGAGCTCGGTTTGCCCCAGTACCGAACACCTACCGCGCCGGGGCGCTGCAGCTCACTCACGGCAGGGCACCTCCCACCGCCCCGGACGCCTGACTGACAGCCAGGGGCGAGGTCTGTGAGCGCCTAGAGGCGGGGGCGGGCCCGGAGGGGCGGGGCCTTGCGGAAGGGGGCGGGCTGAACTCCGGCTTCCGGTGGGTGCGCGCGGGAGCAAGATGGCCACCACCAAGCGTGTGCTGTACGTGGGTGAGCAGGCCCGGAGTTAGGTGGAATCGGGGCGAACCCGCAGGGAGTGGGTCCTGGCGTAGGGCAGGACGCGTCTACGAACGCGGAGGGCAGCGAGCAGCTGTCTAGGTGGGATCGATGGCCGTACTGCTTTGCTTCAGGGAGTTAGCCCGAGACGTAACAGTCTTTCCCGCTCTCTTCCGGGACGGCTGAGCTCTAACAGGAACCCCTTCACCCACTGGACCCGGAGGATTGGTAGAGGAATATTATGGGGCTCCAGATCCTCGCGCTCATTCATTTTATAGACACTTACTGCAGCTCTGGCTCAGTCCCGGCCCCTGCCCTAAAGGAAGGGGTTCCCTGACTAACCGGTAGCAGTGAGAATAACCTCAGTAGCAAAGTTTGATGATGAGCGCTTTGTAGCCCAAGTAGGGGCAGTTGTGTTTACCGAAAGGGAGCAGCAAGAGCAAAACCCCGAAGATGTGAAAGAGACTTATACGTGGGACAAAGGGGTCATCTTGGGAGAAACCCAGGGAATTGAGGAAGCAAAGGGAAAGTTGGCGGGGCTCAGGTTATCAAGAGCCTTTTGTGTACGCTGCTAAGGAGTTTGTATTTTATCCTGAGGACAGTGGGAAATCTTTGAAGGAGTTTAAGCAGTGAAGTAATGGGTTAAAATCTTCATGATCCCAGGATCGCTCCAGTTGGCTGTGTGGAGGAGAGGGAGGGCAGTTAAGAAGCTATTGCAGTAATCCTGGCGCTAAGATGGGCGTCTGTGAGAAGGGTAAAGAGGTGTGTTTCCTTAACGATGGATGAGGGAGCAAATGAGAAGGGTGGTACCCAAAGGACTGGATGGAACAACCCCTCTCCTTGGCTGTCGCATGCTAACTGGGCTGCAGGGACTTCTCAAGAGAATGGAAGACAGTGGTTCAGAAGGCACTTGGCTTCTTTGCAGGTGGGCTGGCAGAGGAAGTGGACGACAAAGTTCTTCATGCTGCTTTTATCCCATTTGGAGACATCACAGATATTCAGATTCCCCTGGATTATGAAACAGGTGAGTCCTTTTCATGTCTTTCATGTTCAGAATACTAAGAGGAAAAAATTCTAAATATGGTTGATATGTAGAAAAGTTCAAGAGGGTGCCTCAGTAGGGCAGCATGAGAGTGATCTTGATGGAGAAGGAATGTCCTGAGTCTTGTGGTTGTAAGCTGTAACATAACTTGCAGAGTCCCATCTGTTGAGTGTGAGATAACAAAATTTTCGATAGCCCAGTAGGAAGATAGATTTTGAGCTACAGGGCGATCAGACTTCTTTCAAACTACCTGCTGGGTACCCTACCTCCCCTGCTCCTTTCTTGGCAGCTGCACTGTTAATCAGGGCACCAGGGAAGCTCAGCCCCAACTGAGGGACTTTGGCCCCTGCTAACCTGGGGGAGTTTTCCTTCAATTGCTATCACAGGTACAGTGCAGTTTTTCTACTTTCCCTTTCTTGTCTTTTTTAAGATTGGAGTTTTATGCCTAGATCAGTCATCGACCCTGCACGATTATTAGCAAGGTCTTTAAACACTCTGGTCTGGGATCTTTATCTGTAAAAATCAATATGGGCATACTTTGGAGATATTGCAGGTTTGGTTCCAGACCACTACAGTCAAACCAGTATCGCAATAAGATGCGTCAAGTTAATTTTTTGCTTTTCCATATAAAAGTTACATTAATCTATACTATAGTTATTAAGTGTGCAATAACATGTCTAAAAAAGCAATGTACCACCTTAATTAAAACATACTTTATTGCTGAAAAATGCTAGCCATAACATGAACCTTCAGAGAGTTGTAATCACTAATCACAGATCACTATAACAAATATAATAATGATGAAAAAGCTTGAAGTACTGTGAGAATTACCAAAATGCGACACAGACACAAAATGAGCAAATACTGTTGGGAAACTGGTGCTGACAGAATTGCTTGGTGCAGGGTTCCCTTCTCAGTTTGTAAAAGATTGTATCTATGAGACACAACAAAGCAAAGTGTAATAAAACCAGGTATACCTGTAAGGTTATAGTGGTTCTCTAAAGTTAGTTGGTTTAATTAAGTTGGCACTGTTGTGCTTGGCCTTTTAAGTTAGGTCAACATTTTTCTGAGGGTAAAGAGTGAGCATGCTAATCCAGGTTTTAAGATTCATGCTTTATGCACAGCTGATGCTCAAAATGTGTATTTGGGACCAATAATTGATAAGTTAAGTAACTTAATTTTTCTACTTGCCTTGTATGCAGAGGTTAAGGCTTTAATTTGGCTTTGGTAAAAATTGAATGCCTTAAAGATTAAAAGTACAGTTCATTCTTTAGCCATGTTTTCTAAAAGACAGAGTTCAATATTACTGGAAATATTGTTCAAACCAGGAAGAATCAAAGAAGGAGATTCTTTCTTACAAAATAGTGATTGGGTAGAATTTCCAATGTTGGGATATGGCATGTGATTGACTTCCCTGTCCTTGTGACATTGCCCCCATTTCTTCCCATTGCCCCTAGTGCTAATTACTTGTTTTTGTTTTCCCTTTTTTTTTTTTTCCTTTCAGAAAAGCACCGAGGATTTGCTTTTGTTGAATTTGAGTTGGCAGAGGTGAGAAAATTCTGTGTTACTTCTGTTTATTAGTCTTTGTTTTGTGTTAATGTTGTTACTGATTACAAAGGGAACCAGTCTCCATTTGGTTAGGTGTCTAGGCCTCTTGCTGAGGCTTCCATAGAGACATGAAGTGCTGCTTAATGGAAAGCTTCCCATCCGTTAATAACATTTAGAGAGTTAACAACACAGACCTGCCCTTCTTGCTCTGCACAGCTCCTGCAGCCCTGCTCACTGAGCATTCCTGCCTGGCCACACTGGTGATCATTTCTTAGGTCTTCCTCTAGATGGCAAATTGCTGAAGTGCTCTTTGTTAGGCACACATACAACCAAGGCAGGAGGTATAAGATGTGACTTTTTCCTATTTTGTTTTAATTTTGTTTTTCTGCTGCCAAGTATGCGTTTAGACACCATAGGAAGCTAAACTTGTACCTTGTCTTTTCTCGGCAGGATGCCGCGGCAGCTATTGACAACATGGTATGGCTGAGAATCTTCATTCCTAACTGAAGTTGCTTTTTGGTGATACAGAGAGTCCTTATGCCTAGATTGGTTTGCCTAACCTCCAAAGTTATAGGGTTGCACGGGGAAGTAAAAATTGTCATCGTGTGCAAATATTCGCTGTGAACTGATCACTTGTAAGATTGGTCCTTACTCAAACGGCCTTCCCCATTTACCAGTGATATAAATTCTAATCATCCTTATTGGCCAGTCTCTCACTGACTGCCCCATGTCTAGGATAATCGCAAACACTATGTAAGTTGGTTGCACGGTGAAATCACACGTTTTGCAAAAGAGGCAGAATTTCATGAAACATCGGACCAGTGACAAGTAAGAAGAGAAGTTCAGTAAGGGTAATGGCAGGGTGTGTTACTGCTGTGGAAGATTTGAATACCCTGGAGAAGACTTTGGGAATAATGATGAATCTCTAGAGTATTTGTGGCGTCTTTGTGATTTTCATATCAGATATGATGTGCAATAATGTCATATACTGTTGACAGAATTTTGTTGGAAAACCACTGCAAACTCATCAGCACCCGTTACGTCTTTGCTCTGCAAATTAGTACATAGTTAAACCTGAAATTTATAAGAAATTTATTTCCCTTACTTTTAGTTTCACCACAACAAAGTCCTGGTCCTTTTTTTTTTTTTTTTTTTTTTTTTTTTTTTACCCCCCTTCTCTTTTTACTCTGAATTTGTCTTCACTGCTCTAAATGGATTTATGATAAGTGACCTTTCCCAGTACTAGTTATCTTTGGATGATAAAGTTCTCCTTTACTCCTGTTCTGGTACCCACTCACAGAACATATTCCTTAGCCCTCAGAGATCATTTCTCACCATTTCAAAGCAGATCTTGACTTTTGAAGGTGAACCCAAGTACTTGGAAACTGCAATTACCCGTGTAATTCCAGAGCATTCTGGAGTTACTTTCAGGAGCACCCCCGGGGGGAGGGGGTGGAAATTGCAGCCCCTGGGCTGCTGTGTGGTAGGCACACAGCTTGTTGTTAGCGGTCAGGGATTCAGGGAGAATAAAGCATGAGCATGTCTCAGATGTATTAGAAGCAAATGCAAAGCTGTCTGATTCTCTTTTAACCTGACAAGAGTTTAAGCAGCTGGATTTTCGATCTTTTCAGAATGAATCTGAGCTCTTTGGACGGACAATTCGTGTCAATTTGGCAAAACCAATGAGGATCAAGGAAGGCTCTTCCAGACCAGGTGAGCGGGGACAACCACAGATTCCACATCACATCCTCCAGTGTGGCCTTAGTCACATTTTTATTCCTGTTTACTTGGAAGTAGGCACTGAATGCCGCTCCAGATGGATAGTAGAGGAGGGTTCACGTTGGCAAAGGGCATGCGCCGCCTTTGTGGGGAATGAAAAGAGTTTGAGCTTCTCAGAGTGATTGTCTGTATTATAAGAGAAACCCTGCCCGATCTCTTCTCTTCCCCAGTTTCTTGGCACTTCGCTCATCAAGGCTGGAACTGGCAAGGCTGTGCCTTCACCCTTGATGTCGTTTTTTTTACTTAATTCTTGATGTTTTTTTTTTTTACTTAGCCTCGTACGAGCTGGACTTCAGGGCGGACATTCCCATTGGGAACTTTCCTTACCCTTGGGAGTTCCTCAGCAGAAGTGTCTGGCTCCGAGGGCCATGGAGTATGTTCCACTTTGCCGACCAAAACAGCTAGTGAGCAGCTGGCCGTTAGCTTGAATTTCTTAGCATTTGTTCGATTCTTTCAGTGTGGTCAGATGATGACTGGTTGAAGAAGTTCTCCGGGAAGACTCTCGAAGAGAATAAAGAGGAAGAAGGGCCAGAGCCTCCCAAAGTGGAGACCCAGGAGGTGAGAGTGAAGGCGTGCGCTTCTATAGGAAACTTTTTTTTTTTTAAGTTTTTATGGAAATTTGCAGATATATACACAAAAGCAGAGAGAATGAAAAGCGGACCCTTAGTGTTGTGATGAAGGTGGTGTTGAGTGAGTGAGTGAGAGGCTCTAGTTCTTTTAGCCTTGTGCCCTGTGTCATAATGAGCTGCTCCGGTCTGCCTAGTCCCGTGTTGGGATTGTCTACTGACGAGGAGGAAGCCTGAGGTGAGGAAAGTGAATGAGTGGTCTTCTTCACCCCTCCTGCCCAGTCCCTCCTTCACTGAAGTGCTTTACAGAGGCTCACTGTCTCCCTGTCGCTGCCCTGATTCAGAGGAGGCAGGCCAGAGTGGTGCCACCTTCCCTCAGTCTGTACACAGGTTCGAGGCTCTCCCTTCCCAGGAGGAGCCTGCCAGCACTCCCTCCTGACTCTGAGCATCCCTCCCTGGCTGGCTCCCCGGGCTTCCCCTTTCTTCCTTGTGACTGTTGTTCTGTGGATTTCATTCTTGGCTCATGGTGTCTGTCTCCCTCTCTCCATCTCCCCTCCTCTCCTTGGTTGAAATTTTTTGTTTTTAATGTTTATTTTTTGAAAGAGAGAGAGAGACAGAGCACAAGCGGGGGAGGAGCAGAGAGAGGGGGAGACACAGAATCCGAAGCAGGCTCCAGGCTCTCAGCTGTCAACGCAAAGCCCAACGCAGGGCTCGAACTCATAGATCACGAGATCATGACCTGAGCTAAAGTCAGACGCTTAACTGACTGAGCCCCCCGGGCACCCCAGCAGTCACTGATTTTTTTTTTGCAGCCTCTCCCATGCTGTTACCTTTCCTGGCCTCTGTTTCTAGTGTCCAGCTTTCAGATCTTTCGGCTGCAAGTCTCACAGGCAGCTTAGAGTTGCCCAGCACGAGTGCCCTCCTCTCTCTAATCTTGCTCTCCATCTTGTCAATTTGCCACCATCCAGCCACACACACACCGACCCAAGCCAGAAATTTGGTTGCAAAGCAGAGCACACATGGCCTTCACAGTCCAAGGAGTAACCTTAGACCCCCCTCTTTAGAACGGCCAGCACATCATCAAATGCTGCCAAGTGTTCTCAGACTTTCCTGAGTCCCCCTCCTTGGTTTGTCCCATTGCCCCAGTTAGCCTCTCCTTGTGCAGATAATTGCAGAAGCTCCCTAACTAGTCTTCTGGCTGCTGACCTCTCTCTAGTCCTTCATTGAGACAGACGGAATGACCTGTTCAAAGCATAGACTGAGTCGGAATCTGTGACTCCCTCTCTGCCGCTCCCCCACTCATGCTCTGCCTCTCAAGAAACAAATAAACATTAAAAAAAAATTATAAAAAATCAATAAATAAAGCACAGACTGAGCCCCTGATTCCTGCTAAGAATTCTTCAGTGGCTCCCATTGCCTGTCCCGAGGAAGAAAGTTGGGGTGTGCTCCCCAGTTCCTGTCCTCCCACCTCACCATCTGTCTCCCTTCCACTCTCCCGCTCCGGTCCCCACTTCAAGCTCAGGAAAACCAGTCTCTGTTTCGCTGTACGTCTTTGCTTTTGTGCAGGCTACTCCGGTGTTTCTTGCCTGTCCCTTTCTAGGCAGTAATTCTGTGAGTGTAGGGGCCTTGTGTTAAGTATCTTATTAATTAAAAAGTGAGGTGGGTGAATGTGGTTAAGAGCGCGGGATCAGGGGTGGGGTGGGGTGGGATGATTTAGGCCTGAATTCCGGCTTCACCATTTAACCACTTCTCTGACCTTGGGCAAGTTACTGAACTTCATTGTACCTCAGTTTCCCCACCTCTAAAATGGGGATAAATAGCAGTACTGATTGATCTTTAGGGTGGTTGTAAAGACTTGATGAGCTAGTATATGTATCCTTCAGAGAATAGTAGCCCGTACTTGGCAAGTGCTGTGTGAACGTTTGCCGCTGTTGTTGCTAGTGGCAAATAATAGTAATAGTATCCTCAGTGCCAGCGGGCGACCTCAGTGCACTGCTTGACATTTCTCTTTGGAACACATGTGACCCCAGCAAATGTCTCCTTATCCTCTTCTTAGCCTTGTCTCCTTGGAGTGTAAATCAAGGCCCCTGCCTCCCCCATTGTCTTCTGAGCACACCAGAGGGCTGCCCTCCCGGCTTCCGTTGTAGCCAGCCTGTGGGTGCACAGGACTGAGCATAGAAGGGAGGAGGTGGCATCTTATTTAATTGGAGTGAGGTGGGTTTGAACGTGTTGAGAGCTACCTTCTGTGGGCCAAAAAAGTGTTCTGTGACCACAGGGCAGAGCTGGCGTGTCTGAGGGTAAGTGTGATAAGGTAATGAGCCTGAGGGGTGGGGCTCAGGTTAGCTGGTGCTGAGGTGTCCTGTCACTGGGTGTCCAGCCGGGGGCTGCGGCCGTGGCCTTCCCTTTCACGGCCCAGGGCCTTCCCTGCCAGCATCCTGCTGCAGTCCGCTCATGGCTGTTGGGTTCTTGGTGCATATTCAGAATACTTGCTCTCCTACTTGGGGGTTAGAGTTCTCCCCAACTTAATGATTTCTCCTGCACCCAGGGAGAGCCTGCTGCGAAAAAGGCCCGATCAAATCCTCAGGTGTACATGGACATCAAGATTGGGAACAAGC